ACTCATTGCAAACACCTTTTTTCAACAACACAAACGGCAGCTCTACACGTGGACTTCACCAGATGGAACACACAGGAATCAGATTGACTACATCTGTGGCGAGAGGCGGTGGAAAAGCTCAATATCTTCAGCCAAAACCAGGCCAAAATGCTCCTTGGAAGCGAAAAGACCATCAACTGCTCATATGCAAGTTCAACTTGAAGTCAATTAAAATAAGTTCAAGAGAGCCAAAATATGATCTTGAATATGTCCCTCCTGAATTTAAAGACCATCTAAAGAATAGATTTGATGCACTGAACGCCAACAACTGAAAACCAGAAGAATTGTGGGAGGAAATCAAGAACTTTATCCATGAAGAAAGCAAGAGATCACTAAAAAGACAAGAAAGGAAGAGAAGACCAAAATGAATGACAGAAGAGACTCTGAAACTTGCACTTGAGTGGAGAAAAGCTAACGCCAGTGGAAGAAATGAAAAGATAAGAGAACTGAACAGAAGATTTCAAAGAGCAGCTCAAGCAGACAAAACCAATTACTATAATGAAATGTGCAAAGATCTGGAGTTTGAAAACCAAAAGGGAAGAACGCGCTTAACATTTCTCAAGCTGAAAGAATTGAAGAAAAAATTTAAGCCTCAAGTTGCAATATTGAGAGGTTCTATGGGCAAAATATTGAATGATGCAGAAAACATCAAGACAAGATGGCAGGAATACACTGAATCACTGTACCAAAAGGAAATGGTTGATCTTCATCCATTTCAGGAAGTGGCATATGATCTAGAACCAGTGGTACTGAAGGAGGAAGTCAAAGCTTCAATGAAAGAATTGGCGAAGAACAAGGCTCTGGGAATTGATGGAATACCCATTGAGATATTTCAACAAATGAATGCCCCATTAGAGGCATTCACTCGGTTATGCCAAGAGATTTGGAAGACAACTACCTGGCCAACTGACTGGAAGAGATCCATATTTGTACCCATTCCAAAGAAAGGTGATGCCACAGATTGTGGAAATTATAGAACAATATCATTAATATCGCATGCAAGTAAGATCTTGCTGAAGATAATTCAAAAATGTTTGCAGCAGTATATTGACAGAGAACTTTCAGAGGTGCAAGCTGCATTCAGAAGAGGACGTGGAACAAGGGATATATCATAACTATTGTCAGATGGATCTTGGCTCAAGGCAAAGAATACCAGAAAGATGTCTACTTGTGTTTTATTGACTATGCAAGGCATTTGATGGTGTGGAGCATGACAAATTATGGATGACATTGAGAAGAATGGGAATTCCTGAGCACTTGATTGTACTCATGAGGAACCTGTACTGTGACCAGGAGGCTGTCGTTTGAAAGGAACAAGGGGACACTGCATGGTTTAAAATCAGGAAGGGAGTGCGTCAGGGTTGTATCCTTTCTCCACACTTAATTCAATCTATATGCTGAGCAGATAATCCGAGAAGCTGGACTATATGAAGAAAAACGTGGCATCAGGATTGGAGGAAGAATCGTTAACAACCTGAGATACGCAGATGATACAACTTTGCTTGCTGAAAGTGAGGATGACTTGAGGCACTTACTGATGAAGGTTGAAGAATATAGTGTGCAGTATGGATT